CCAATGCCTGGATCATCCTCAGCATCTCGGCCAAGCAGCAGAAGCACAAGCCGCTGGAGTTGCTGCTCTGCTTCCTGGCGGGCACACACATACTCATGGCGGCCGTGCCGCTCACCACCTTCGCCGTGGTGCAGCTCCGGCGCCAGGCCTCCTCCGACTATGACTGGAACGAGAGCATCTGCAAGGTGTTTGTGTCCACCTACTACACACTGGCCCTGGCCACCTGCTTCACAGTCGCCTCCCTCTCCTACCATCGCATGTGGATGGTGCGTTGGCCCGTCAACTACCGTCTCAGCAACGCCAAGAAGCAGGCGCTGCACGCCGTCATGGGCATCTGGATGGTCAGCTTCATCCTCTCTACGCTGCCCTCCATTGGCTGGCACAACAACGGCGAGCGCTACTACGCCCGCGGCTGCCAGTTCATAGTCTCCAAGATTGGCCTGGGCTTTGGCGTCTGCTTCAGCCTCTTGCTACTTGGGGGCATTGTCATGGGGTTGGTCTGTGTGGCCATCACCTTCTACCAGACGTTGTGGGCCCGGCCCCTGAGGGCTCGGCTGGCCCGGCGAGCGGGGGTTGGGGGCGGGGCCAAGGGGGGTGGGCCAGGGGCGTTGGGTACCCGGCCAGCCTTTGAGGTGCCAGCCATTGTGGTGGAGGATGCCAGAGGGAAGCGGCGGTCCTCGCTGGACGGCTCCGAGTCGGCCAAGACATCCCTGCAGGTCACCAACTTGGTCAGCGCCATCGTCTTTCTCTATGACTCACTCACAGGGGTGCCCATCTTGGTGAGATTGGGGTCCCCTGCCTGCTCTTCCCAATATCCAGGCCCCAGCACAATCACCTGACCTCCAAGTCCATCCGCCATACAGCAGCTCTGCCATCCACCTTCCTCTCTTCTGCCCACCCCCGCTAGATCTGTGAGCCCCCCACCTCCATCATTCATCTCCTCGTTCCCATTACCCCCAGCCTCGTTGTCTGTTTTCCAGTTTCTACTACTCCACTCCACCACCCATCCTCCAGCTCCACCATCTATACTGCGGCTCCACGCTTCGGCCCCCAGCCCTACCATCCAGCAGCCCAGCTCCAGTCTCCAGTCCCTAACACTCTTGGGATATACCACAGGGTCTCTGAGCACTCCGGTGGAAAGCCCAGAGAGCTCACCCCACCACCCCCGCTTTTTGCATCCCCATCTAGTCCCGATTCCCAAATTTCTCTCTGTGTTCAACTTTTCTGTACCACGTCTGCTTCTGTCCCTCTGGACCTCAGGGCTTTGTCTCCAGTCCTTGCCCCCGACCTTCCTCTGAATCAGGCCCTTGCCCTCTGTTCGTCCCATCACCACCTCCGACTTTGCCTCTGTCCTGAGCCTCTGTGAACTGGGCCATCCCTTCCTTCTTGCCCAGCCACTGCACTAGAAGCCTGGATCCGGGGCCCAGGGGGACCTCTGGGCGCTGGGTCGTGACCCCGCGCCATTCCCCATCCTCCCGCTAGGTGGTGAGCTTCTTCTCCCTTAAGTCGGACTCGGCCCCGCCGTGGATGGTGCTGGCTGTGCTGTGGTGCTCCATGGCACAGACGCTGCTGCTGCCCTCCTTCATCTGGTCCTGCGAGCGCTACCGGGCCGACGTGCGCACGGTGTGGGAGCAGTGCGTGGCCATCATGTCCGAGGAGGAAGGCGACGACGGTCAGCGGAGGGACTGGGCTTTGGCTTTCCCGGGCTTCGGCTCCCTTTTCTGCCGGCCCTTCCCTGTGTGGGGACGGGCTGCCCTGGAGTGCCCCCTGCTGGACGGAACCGGCGCCGCCCGTGGGCTGACTCCCTTTCCCTAATCCCGCACCCCGATGTACACCCATCGCTTCCTTCTGCGCCGAGGGCTCCCTCCACCCGGCGGCGGCTTCCCTCTGGAAGCCCACACTACCCAGCTCTGCCTCCACTCTCCAGGCCGAATGCCTGAGAAACAGTCCAGAGTCCTAACGCAACCGTAAAGGAAGGCTGTGGAACTAAGGGGACGCTAAGCTCCCTGAGAGAGACCCCCAGCTATAGGGACAGTTCTTGGGGTGGGCTTGCAGCTGTTTCAATAAACATGTCTATATGTATGGAGCACTAGGGACTTAGCAATGAATGCAACAGACGTTAGACACTCTTGCTTTTCCTCTTGGAGCTTATAGGCTCGTGGGAACAGGATTCTCCCGGGAGCTTGTAAAGGGGGCAGGAGGCTTTAAAGGGGGTGGGGGTGGGGAGGGGAGTGGGCATTCCCTGTCTGTAACCACCCTGCCCCTTTTCTCTCCTAGATGGGGGCTGTGATGACTATGCAGACGGCCGAGTGTGCAAAGTGCGCTTTGATGCTAATGGTGCCGCAGGACCAGGGGGCAGGGACCCCTCCCAGGTGAAGCTGCTGCCTGGAAGGCACATGCTCTTTCCCCCTCTTGAGAGGGTCCACTACTTACAGGTATGGGGCTAGGGAGTGCACCTCCTGTTCTGGGTACCCCCTTACTACCTGTCTCCAATCTCTGCTGACCATCCTGACTCCCCACTCCCTAGCCCTGGCCTGCAGGGCACCTAAGGGGTAGGTGAAAGAAACGTGTGGCAAGAGAGGCTCCCCTTCAGACCTCTCAGAACCAGGTTTGCCCATCACAGGATGTTTTCCAAAAGTTTAAGGGGGTGGGACCATCTTACCGAGTCCCTACTTTGGTTCCTGCCTCTACCCCTGCTTGCTCCCTATAGCACCTCTGGGTCTGCCGGCTCCTCTCCCCAGGTCCCTCTGTCCCGCCGTCTGTCCCACGATGAGACCAACATCTTCTCTACTCCTCGGGCACCAGGCTCCATCCTGCATAAGTGGTCATCCTCTGATGACATCCGGGTCCTCCCGGCCCAGAGCCGAGCCCTCGGGGGCCCTCCTGAGTACCTGGGACGAAGACAAAGGCTGGAGGATGAGGAGGATGAGGAGGAAGCTGAAGGTGGGGGGCTAGCCAGCCTTCGCCAATTCTTGGAGGGTGGGATGTTGGGGTCAGGTGGGGGACCCCCACGGGGTCCTGGCTTCTTCCGGGAAGAGATCACCACTTTCATTGATGAGACACCTCTGCCTTCTCCGACTGCTTCGCCAGGGCCCTCTCCTCGCCGGCCCAGGCCCCTGGGCCTCTCACCCCGCAGGCTCTCCCTTGGGTCCCCTGACAGCAGAGCCGTTGGACTTCCTTTGGGGTTAAGTGCAGGGAGACGCTGCTCCCTGACAGGAGGTGAAGGGAGTGCAAGACCTTGGGGAGGATCCTGGGGCCCAGGTAACCCCATTTTCCCCCAGCTGACCCTGTGAGCCCAAGTGGGCCTGCGGGACTCAGGGGAGGGGCCCTGAGTAACACCAGTTCTGGCCCTAAGCCTAGGGCAACTGCCTCCAGACTCCGTGGAGGTGGGCACTGGATCTGGGGCCTGGAGCCCCCTGCTGTCTCCCATCTCAATGACCAGATGCCCTAACTCACCTTCCATCACCCTTAGCAAACCGTATTAAAGCCTGAAGTGTTACCATGGAAACCTCGGTGTCCTGTGTGCTAGGGTGGCAGAGGGTATGGTGGGAGGCTCGGGGGTGGAAAGGCTCATAAAGGACAAAATAGAGCAGGGGCAGTGACCAGAGGCCCAGAAATACACGTGGAAAAAGACAAACTCAAACATGAAGACATACAGAGGGACAGGCTTATAATAAGAGCATCTTGTGGCAACCCTGTCGGGACCCCTCTCACTCCTGAGAGCTTTTTCTGTATCCTTGATTAATAAACTTCTGTCACTTTACTCACACACACACACACACACACACACACAAGAGCATCTTGTGCTGGGCATGGGGAGACAATCGAGTTTGCTGCTTTGGGGTGTGAAGGATCTCTGTCCGGGTTTGTGGAAGTAGTTTCAGAGTGTGATTCCATGTGCCATGCCCCAACTCTCCTTCCCCCAAATCCACCTAGGCCTCACTTTCTGGGCAGGAAAGGATTTGGGCCTGAGTTGGTGTCACAGGCCCACATCCCATGCTGCATTCTAAGGCTCATTTTGCAAAAGTGGGTGTGGGTAGATGTGTGGGAGGCATCCACTCTCCTTGTCCTGGACCCAAGAGTGGGGGTGGGGGAGGCACAGAGCGGAGGGGAACAGAGCTGCAGTAGTTACTCTGAGACCGGGGGCCTCAGGGGTTGGAGTCAAGGGTCCGAAGAGGCTCCCCATGCTGTTTTCCAAAGCACCAGTCCCGCTCCAGTGCCAGCCGTTTGCCATCTGCTCTTCAGGGCCTGTTTCTCGTCCCACACCGTCCCTCGTCTTAAAGACTGCTGTCTCCACTTTCTGCCAGGCTTCCCGACGTCTCTGGCTCTCGTATTGGCCTCTCCCAGGGCTGAGCCTGGGCCGCATCGGCTCTCCTTGGCTCCCGCTCATTCCTTCTCTCTTCCTCTCCTCCCTCCTCTCCATCTCTCCTTCCTTTCCCCTCCCTCTCCCTTCCCCCTTCCCTCTCTCTCTCTCCCCCTCTCGGCTCCCGCATTCCGCTTCGGCAGCCGGCCGGCGCCCCTGGCACCATGCTCCGGCTCCTCCGGTTGCTGCTGCTGCTGCTGCTGCTGCCTCCGCCGGGGTCCCCCGAGCCCCCGGGCCTGGCCCCGCTGTCCCCGGGGGCGCCCCCGCAGGCCCCGGACTTGCTCTACGCCGACGGGCTGCGCGCCTACGCGGCCGGGGCTTG